AAGTAGGTTATTATGATAAAACGTGACAGGAGGAGGATACAGGACTTGCGTCCCAATTGACAACCTTCCCCTATTGTAGTAAAACGGAAAAAAAAAAAAAAAATTTCTAGGAAGTACTTCTTATTTTGCATTATGAAGAAGAAAAAAAAAAAATAGTATGAAATAGCAAGAGTGAAGAGGTCTAAAAGTTATGACATTACATATTTTATCAAAAATGCTACACTATGCTATATATTTTATAATGAGTTACTGAGGTGGCTGATATGATGATAATTTCTGGTCATAGTGTTCAGAAATTAACTTTTTAAATTTCGCCAAGGACATTGGCGTGGTTTTCAGCTCAGTTGGTAGGCTGTTCCATAGTGTCTATTTAACTATTACACGTTCACTAGTAATTTTTATTTCACGGGTTTTAAGATGTCTTCACTCTACTACCGTGATGTCTATTGATAGTAACCAAGAGAAAATGAACTAAGAGAAGGAATTCCTCCTATATAGCCTTGTAACTATCATGTGCACCGTTTGATGCTATTTTTAAACCATTTGTTTTTCTGCACGCGCATTTACTGCGCGCGCTCTACGCTGTTTGCTTACGTTTTGGGGTTTTTTCCATTATTTCGACTCTGCCCTGGATATGAATGTGCACGTCGAAAGCTTGGCAAATACGACAAGAAATTGAAGTAGTAATTTGTTCAACTTTCTGGAGTATTTTTACATTTATTTTCAAAAGCTTTCGACCTCCATCTTCATCTTGAGGGCAGATTTGAACATTTGAACATTAGAAAAGCACAAGAAAACGTTAGCAAACAGCGTAGAGCGCGCGCGTACTATGCGCGTGCAGAAAATCAAACGATCAAATAAATGATATCATTGGATGATATTTTTAGAATAGATTCTAAAAACAGCATCAAAGTGTGCACATGATGGGGCACGGGGATTCCTTCTCTTAGTTCATATTCTCTTGTAGTAACCAAATGAGCTGTCAGTGAAATTCACTTAACGCCGACGTTGCAACAGTTAATTATAAATGACACGTCATCGGAGATTGGCTATTTCTTTAGTAAGTCTCACTTGTGCGCTAGTATGATCTATGTGATGTCTATAACGTAGAACCAAGTTAATTTAACGATGGGACAGGGTATATCCAAAAGTCAATGGGCCACGCTAGAACACAGTTCACTGAAAGAACTGAAAAATCTTTTTTCTTCTTGGGGGAAAAAAATTAATAGAAAATATGTCACCTCTGCAAGGAGGAACGTCAAGAAAGGTGATCATCTTGAGGTACATCGATATGGGTATGATCATCACTTCATCTGCACTGAGAAACGAACAGACGGAATCACGGTGATTGAATATGGCGGTCCACACTTCGAACTGTCCGTTAGCGAAGTCCTAGCACTCGATGTTGAAAAACTAGCGAAAGTGCATGAAAAGGAATATCCATTTGAACAACTGGAGAAGGAAAAGATATTAAAATTGATACGCATAACTATGCTCCACTGTTGAGTGATATTGGTTTAGATAATTAGGAGAATGGTATTTGGAAAATACATTTTAACACTTGATTTGTAGCAATGCGTGTCTTGTAATCAACATTGTAATTAAATTAATTTTATCGTAACATCGATTTTTCCAAAGTACCATCGAAAACAATAGTAAAAATCCAAAATATCTGGGGATAGTGCTTTTCTTCGTTATGCTAATCGTAATATAAACAAAGAAGCGCAGACACTAAGGGGAATCCCCTTTCGTCAGTAGTCCTTAACGAAGTTGCTTTACGCTGCAAAATAAAATACCATAAGTGCAACCATGTGACTCAAACTCCCTTTGATATAAATAACGATGAAACAACCGCCATGTCTCTTGAAAAATATTCGTAAAGCTTTCCTTTCTTACAGCGGGTTACAGTAGGTTCTAGCAACGGTCAATCAAGGCGTTTCCATGACATTCAATGGCACGTTTACTTAAAAACGTATTTTTTCATGAAAACACTTTGATTGACGTTCACTGAAACCCTATTTTGAGAGACTGAAAATAGAGGTTTTGCCCCATCACGTGCCCCCGCACATAATACAGCTTGGGCTGCCTGTGTTTAGATGGCAGAACAATAAAATTCCTTTACTCTTGGGAATTTAATTCTTTCTCATGTAAAACGATTGTATTGCTCTTGCCATCTAACATGGCTGCCGTCACGTGGTGGTGCAAAACCTCTATTGTGCGATTTGGCGCGTTTGGAAAGCGCTGTTATGCAATTTCAATACCTGCACATCGTGAATTTGGTATTCTCGACTTTCACATCCCCATAATCCTTTGCGTCTTTGGGGG